GAAGATGTCCGAATCAACCCAGTCTTGAGTGAAGAATCGATATATGCCTTCATGGCCTCCCTTCATGGCCCAGAAAGAGAGTACAGCCGTCCCTTGGGAATTCCTCTGCCAAGTGTAGTATTCCCTCGGTAACTCCCGTCTGAAAGGTGGAGTGGATACTGCATTCCTTCCCTTTTCCCGCTGTCTATCAGCTAGACGTTGATCAATCCGGATAGCCATGGCGATGAGCGAGTCCAAATCTTCAGGCAGCTGTAATGGAGCTAACTGATCCTTTATGGGATCCGCTAACCCATGCAGGAAAGCATCAAAGAGAGCCGCCGAGTTCCACCCACTCTCCGCTGCCAGAGTACGGAAATCAATTGCGTAATCCGCCACTCTCCTCTGCCGCTGTTTAATGTTCACCAGGGCTCTCGCTGACTCTCTCCCGGGTGATATCTGATCAAAGATCTTGCTCATGGTATCCAAGAACAGTTCCAATGACTGACAAACAGGCGAGCACCGGGACCACTCCGCTGTTGCCCAGGCTTCCGCTCTACCCGTCAGATTAGAGACAATAAAAGCTACTTTAGCTTGATCGGTGGGAAATGCTGCGGGCTGGTGTTTGAAGTGGAGATCGCACTGTACCAGGAAGGGACGACAGTTTCCAGAGTCTCCGGAGAATCTCTCCGGCGAAGCGAGACGGATCGTAGGTGACTGCATGGGTACTTGAACGGGGATATCAGCAGACCCGACCCCCGCTGAACCGGAAAACTCTGCCGCAGGAACACCAGGGTTTGCCACGAGGTGAGTCAGTATGTCCCGCATCTTTTCAGCCAGTAGATTTATTTCTGTCGTCACCGTAGCTTGAAAGTTGTCTTGACGAGCATGTAAATCCTGGACCCCTTGGTTGATTGCTGACAGCTGTCCCTCATGTTGATGAAGGCGTGTACCCTGCGCCTGCAGGGCCGTTCTTACTGTAGTGGAATCGGCTGAGTCCATCTTGTTTGGTTGGTTGGTTCTGACACGAAGGGCTCTTTAAGAACTCAGATGCTCGATTCCTTTGCTTTGGTAATAGTCTTTATTTATAAAGATCACAAAGCTTTTCAAAAGTCTTCTAGGATCTACTAGGACATTTCCAAATAATCCTTAGGTTCAACTAGGTATTTACAAAGTCTCTGGTAACAGCATGGATATCATGAAGAGACAAGACGAACCAACACAAGACAAAGGGAGAGAAGGACTATATATACACACACACACACATTAGGTCATGAGGCACAGGTGGACACAATCAGGGGCGGGAACAACAATCAGTCTGACCGGTGACACACAAAGACAGGAAGTGCAGACACCTGGAAAGATAGAGCAGAGTCATGTCACAATAAGACAGATAGACAAACACTAAAACCTTACAATGAGTGGTGGAAATTAGTCTGTTAGCTAAGCGTAGTCCATTTTAAATAATAATTGTTATGTTTTTTTTTTACTAAGCTGACATTAACGTTCATATCTATACAGAAAATTCAGAGGTTTTTCATTTCAATGCTCTTTTAGCTGACATTTAATAAATGCAGGTAGATCTTTAGCAGCTATTCATAGTAAATCAGTTGTCCCTCCCCCTGGTGCCAGGACCAACAGATCCATCTCAGGCGCCGTTTACACGAGGAGAAAACTGCTTGTATCTGCATAGTTTCGCGTGCGTATAGCCCTATTATTTACACGAGGCCGATAGAAACTGACCCCACAAACGATAGCGGGTCCCAAGGTGGATAGATTTGCAAACTAAACGCTCTGGGGGGTCAACCGAGTCCGTGTAATCACCTCTATACGAATATTTCCTGAAAAAATAACGATAGCCCCACCTCTCCCCACCTCTCCTGCTCACTGCTGTAGCAACTATCAAAAATAGCTGTGTTAATTAAACGCACAAGGGGTTCTTGAATGAAATAATATTATAAAAGGCAAACCAGAATTGTTAACGCCCAATATACTCCTTAAACAAAATAAACAGAGTCAGATTTTATGCATTGATCCATTATATTGACAATTTCCCAGCCAAACAACACAAACAAAATTAAAAAGTCCGCTCTGCGATACACCAAACTTGTCTTTACTGCCTAATCCAGGCCATTATTGTTCATTGCTCCTGCGCCCGTCGGCGGCAAAAAGAGAAATGTTTGTAGGCAGAGGACCGGCGTGTCCCAGAGGAGCGATCTCACCCGGTGTTTGTAGAGAATATCTCTCTTTCTGAGCGCGTCCTCTCCACGGAGACGTGCTTCTTGGTCGGTCGATGCAATATCCACAGATTCGGTTTCTTTCAGTTAACTTCCCCGTTGCATTTATCCATATGCTGAGGAAATGACTATATCCCGCTGAATACCAGCAATCGCCACACACACTTCCTCCTGTCAGTAGCTACTGCTAGTGCTACTGCTACTGACCATGCTACAGATATTAGTGCAAAATCTACAGCTCCTCTACCACAACCATCAGCAACAAGTGGACATGGAGAATTACATGAACTACATGTTGCTAAATACACCGCGGGGCATAAACAGAAGGGTAGCCATGGCAACATTGCTGCGGGGCTGCTCCAGGCTGCTCTTCTTCGCTGCTTTTGGTGTATTTTGGCGGAAGTTACAGCGCCACTTACAGTCCCGGCATATGTACTACAGGGTTTCCAGCGGTCTCGTTTGAACAGACACGTTAAATGAAACGAATGCATGTGAACGGAAGACTTTTTTGAATACGCATACTGTGCATAAACGCAAACGTTCCCGTGTGAAGGAGGCCTCAGGCTCAGCAGACCTGTCTCCCCATAAGGCTGAACCTGAACCAGCTTTTCTCCCAACTGAAGGAGGTGAGCAGCATTGTGTTGAATGCCACTTAACATATCTGAAGGGAGACTGGAATACAACAAATATATATATATTAAAACAAAAAGCTAACATCTCATTTCAATTATACATTTCAAACACAGTATTTTTCCACATATTTAAGTTATATTTATTTGGATTTATGCATTCATGTTGAGAATGTTCCATTCAAAAATGTTATATTATTAAAAAGGCATTTACACCATAAAAGATTACTATTGAGATTTATTGTCAGGAATGTTAGACTTATATCAAATAGTGAATTCCACTGCAGCAGAATGTTGCACGTCTGCACAGTGTTATATTTTCACAGCTCAGTGTCAGTAAATATTGTGCAGTTAGTATTGGACTACAAGATAGATGCAAGCCTGTACAAGTAGAGTTATTTAAAGCATAAATTAGTCGGTTGGGTTCTGGAGGTGTGGTTACAGCAATTGTGCTTGGTTGGCGTGGCCTGGGCCTGGTGGTGGGGCCCAATGTGATATCTTTTCATGGAGCCCAAAATCCCTGGCGGCGCCCCTGGTTGTGTGAGTATATGGCCAGAGGGCAGGACCTATAAACACATTTACTACCCAATAGCATTGTGAGGCTGAACAAAAAGACATTTTGACTATGTAAATGTGGCCTTTAAAAAAACAAAACATTTACTGACTTTTTTGGATAGCTTAAAGTAATGTTGTAAAATTACAACCGGGGGCCTTACAGGGTTAAGGGCTATTGTTTATTGTTATTTACTTTAAGATGTTTATTCTTAACCAATTATTTAATTTAAAAACTCTTATTTAAATTGTGTGTGTGTGTCTCTGTTTACCTGATTATACACTGAAAGAATGAGCTCATAGTGCTGCTGATCATCATAAGCTAAACAGTCTGTATATTGCACTACATTTGTATAATGTAAGCTTCGTTGCATAGCCGTGGGAACAATGTTTCAAATAGGGGGTTGCTGTGGGGATGACACCAGGGCCGGTTCTGACCAATTTGCTGCCCTAGGCAAGATGTTTGCTGGTTCATTTATATCTTATTTTACCAGTTAACATTTATTTATTTATCCGTATTTTTTAATCTCTCCAGTTTTAAAGGATATTGTTGGTTTACTGTCCTATAGTATACATTGGAATGATTTCAAACCTGTTTATATTTATCCTAATAATTATAAAGGTGTGCCTTGGTAATATTTGTTTACATAAATTGTGATAAAACCGTTTGAGACACACTGAGATAACTTAGACTAAAGTGAACTATCTAAACACTCAAGAGTCCTTTACCTCACTGAGCCTCTCAGGGCAAATGGAAAATGTAACCGGGGTAAAAAGGGTGTTATCTTTACTTAATTATGAATGTGAACATCAAGGCCGAACATTTGTTTTTTTTGTATTATATTTGTATTATATTTCCATTTAATCTTGTGGACGTGCAGATTCCCTGTCCTCCATCAGGGGGTGCTGCAGCACCCTCAGCACCCCTACTTACCACGGCCATGCTTCGTTGTTACTTTGCCTGTGGGAATAAGAAAAAAATAGTTAGATATACTGAATATTATTTGATCTATTCCACCACTAGCTTAATCCCAAATAATGTAGAGGTGTGTTGTAGGTGCCTTAAATAACCCCTTATTTTCTAGTGAGATGTATTTTTATGTTCATATAATAGTGATTTCAATGATCACTGGTTCCATCCTGGCCACCCCACTGAAAATGTCCTGGCTCCGCCACTGCTCTGAAATGCAGTGATTATATTGAAATTAAAAAGGTGTACGTTAAAAAACAAATAAATGCCCTTTCTTGAAGTCATAACTGAAGTAATTGATGCAATTAACATGCAAATAGACATTAAAATATGCTTTGAAGGCTGTTAATATGTTTAATTTGAGTTTAAACTGTTATGTTGATATGATAAAAACATTTAAACTCAAATGTAACACAAACCTCAAGGTATCATTATATTACCGGTATCATTATATATATATTAATAATATAAGATATAATATGTTACTTTTGTGACTGGGTGAGTACATAACGCGGGAGTCGGGACGTCACGTGCCTCAAAGGTTGAGAAAGGTTGAGCCCCCGTCCCGTCCACGTTGAGCTGAGCTCCCGCCCACGTTGAGAGGGGTAGGCTACTACGCATGTGTCAGTTCTATCCGGATGTATATATGTTCAGCGCAGCCCGCTCAGGGTTTACTTTAAAACGGGACTCCAATAACTTAACTTTCGGCTTTTTCTATTAAAGGACCATTTTTGGTATTTCATGTGAACAGTGTTACATTTATTTCAAACACCGTCTCAGGTTTTTGAGGGTGGTTTTATCTGGCAGTGAAGGGAAGAAGCAGAGTTTCTTCAAGAGTTTCTCTCAACTTTAAATCCCGGTCTGTAAGCCATGGCGTGCGAAGTAAACGGTATGTCGGGTAAGTTTTTCATTTTTAACGTAGCCTACAGCTCGAGTCCAAAGTAAGTTGCAGAAGTTAAGAATTGTTATTATTTTTGCCTAATCTTTTTTATATCGCCTGCGGCTTTCAAAACACAGTACTCGTGGTTTAGACAGGGTATGAGGTCATTTGAAAGTAACTAACGCTTTTTTACTCTCCACAGATGCGAGGATAGGAGAAGCCCTGATCAAAGAGTAAGTTCCTTCCATCATAATAATAATAATAATCATTATAATAAGTTGTATTAGAAAAGGCCTTTAAAATATATTCCAAGGCATTTTACATGATAATAAAACATGTATTAGCAAGAAACAGTAACATTAATAACCGCTCTTATAGATAGATTTCATTCAACCACAGTTAAAGACTTTTAATTATTCAGTTTACAATAATGTTCAACCAAAAAAAAAAACATTAAAATCAAAACATTTACCAATAAATAGGGCTGATTGGTTGATTAATCATTATGCTAGCTCTGATTTAATAAATATTTTTTAAAATACAAATGTAAAAGGGTCCATTTCCTGCCACCTGTAAAGACATTTTCTACGATCACCCCGAATGATCAGCATGCTAAACAATAATGAGAACCGGGTTTAGCTCTTTTTGTCTACCAGACTGCCATTTTGATATATTTATTGTTGTGCTCATGTATATATATATATATTCAATCTTTGGGACGATGGGGAAACAGCATTTCAGTCTCTCTGTTAGTACAACACTCGGAGATATTGATAATTGAGTTGACTCTGACTAGTTGCCCTGACCTGTAACTAGTTACTTCATCAGCCCAGTATCTAAAGCACAGCGGTAAACACTCTTGAAAACATCAAATGAATGTTCATTTTTTAACTTTCACTTCCCTTATTTTATTCAACTCTGCATGTCACCTTTTTTAATTAACAATATAGCATTTTCTACCTCAAATCAGTTGTTTAATTCCTTATCCAAAGCCAGTTTCAGTTTCATTACACGTTAACAGATAACGCACTTACAGTAAATCACACTTCTTTGAACTTTGTGATCATGACAGGAGATACGAAATGGAATTGGTGTTACACCGTAAACCTGGCAGGATGCACGTTATGAGCATCCTGGTTTATCTTGATCTATTCTTGCAGCTGAACACACAGTCAGCAGTTAAAAACACACCTCACACTCTGCATCACCATCATCCTCTTAAACTAGGGCTGTGCGATAATAATCACGATTATTTTGGTCAATAATTGATATCACGATTATGAAATACGATTATTCATTGACTTTGAAAACATCCATTTATTGAACTTTAAAACAAATACAAATAATAATTTGAACAGTGTCTTTTTAACTGTTGATTACCCTGAACGTATAATTCAACTGACAAACCAATACAAAAATAAATGATATCAAAATAATAAATACCAATAAACAAGATCAACAAATATTTTGGAGCGCGCTTCAACAAGCTACTAAACATATATAAGTATGATAAATAAAAATAAATTAGACTAAAATAAATTAGATCAAATATGTCACAACCTAGCAAAGCAAAATAATCGTTTTTTTCGATTATGTTGTTTTCGTAATTGTGGCAGGCCAAAATCGTAATTGCGATTAAAATACGATTAATTGCACAGCCCTATCTTAAACTGTTTTAAAATGTATATTTCTACATTTACATTGACTCATGGTAGAGCGGACGACCTAGTACCACGATGTTTACCCCCCCATGTCATTACCTGGCACTATACTTATGGCGCATTTCCACTACACGGCCTCGCTCGGCCTCGGTATGGCTAGGCCTCGTTAGGCCTTGTTAGGACTGGCTCACTTTATGCTGCGTTTCCATTACAGTTTAGTAGCTGGGGCAGTAACTATAGTAACGCAGTGTAGGTGGAGCCGTGACGTCATCTTTAATGAGAACCCCAGAAAAACAACATCAGCCGTTAGCTGTTAGCACTCAAGCTCACAGCTCCTCATATCTGTTCAGAAACTAGACAAAAGTGAAACAAGTACAAACCACAGACTGCCTGTGTCATGGCGAATACAGTCGCTGGTTTATTTATGTCTGTATAGGCCGTTGTTGTGAGTGTGGACGGTCGGAGCATATACTGCGTTAGCTTAGCCGATCTCCATCTAGAAAACACGCATTTTAAAAGGTTTTTCGCCTGCCGTCTGTCTGCAGACTTGTCAAAGCATTAATTCATGGTTTTTACTAACCGGTATCAGTATGTTGTTACTTCGGCATCATTTTGAAACGTGTATTACAATTAAATCACGGTCAAATATGTTCATCTTGTTGTAGTTGTAGCCCGCTTGCCAGCGATTCTCTCTCTAGTTTAGCATACTCAGCCCGACTCAGCCTGGTTGTTGGCCCGGAAAGAACCTCGATTTTATGGGGCCAGAAAAACTGTGAAATAGTACCCGCTAGCCGGTACTACGCTAAGTGGAAACGCAACCAAAAACGGGCCCCGCACGGCTCGGCACGCTTAAAGCGAGCTCCGCGCTGTAGTGGAAATGCGCCATTACATCACCACATTACCTGGCACTACTTACAGCACCACTAGCGGCCAAACTCTCTTAAACTCATCAGCATGATATCTTATTAATATTAATACACCACTGTTATACATTGTAATAAACATATTATATATTGTAGTTCAATGTGCACATTTTTACTCTACTTCTCATGTTAAAGGTGGGGTAGGTAATTTTGGAGAAACCAGCTCGAGTGAGCTAGAATTTGAAAATACACAACCGGAAAAAATCTGCCACTTCCTTACAGAGCCCCTCCTCCAACACACACGAACGCGCACATGACCAATGAGGGCACGAGATAAGTTTGTGCACAGATGGAAGGCTGACAGGCAGGTAGGCCATCCAGTTATTTTAGCCGGGCCGGCTAAAATGATTGGTCGTGCTTTTTACAGTACTACGGCTTCCACAGATGAAATATTTTTATGGATTTATTGTCAAAGCATTTAATGTATTCATTGCTATCGGGATGTTAAGAGCATTCCATGGAATATAACAAAAAGTGTTTCTGAAATAAATTACATACCCCACCTTTTATATCTTTATTTTATTTTATGTTATCTGTTCATTTTCATTTCTTACTTTAACTTCTTGTGTTTATATACATAAGTATATTTTAAGAAGAATTCTGATTCTCACTTCAGCTTTACTAATAAAGGCAGAAGTAGACAAAAACATTTTATTTGATATTTATTTGTATTTTATATATTTATATGTCTATTAATGAGAAATGTTACATATATTATTAAGAAAAAGGGCAAATATAATTTATAATAATAATAATATAATAATAATACATTTCATTTATATAGCACACTTTAAAAACAATGTCATCTCAAGGTGAGAATGACAGAAAATGGTCATAAAATGGTGAGAATTGTTGTCATAGCCTTAAAAATGACACAGTGTACAATAAAGTAAAAGGAGCCACACATTTGTGCTTAGCATTATTAATTTGTTTCAAATAAACACATACATGAATTCAACACAGGCCAGACTGCCTTTTTTCCAGATACAGAGTTAAAACGGGGAAACCAACGTACTTGGGGGCGGGGACTGAGTGGAAACGGGACGCCATCTCAAACCACTGAGTTATCCGGCGGCCCCCCAGTGAGATTTTTAACGTCCTGTTCTCTTCCAGGGTCATAGAGGAGGAGCTGAAGGACGTGCCCTCAGAGGAGGTCCCGCCCTTCAGTCCGCTCGCTGCCAGAGTAGAGAGTGAGCAGGAGCAGAAGCTGGTGACTCAGCTGGCCAAAATGGTGTGCATCATCGGGGATCGTGTCGCAGGCGACCAGGAGCTCCGAGAGTGAGTCTCAGGGTAGAATACTGACAACGTCCATGGAACTGTGTTTTATATGAATTGGTGCAGGGATGATGTATCTCTTCACGCCGGTTCGGAAGTTAGAACTGTCAGGGCTCCCTCAACAAAAAGCAATGGGATTTCTGCTTTGGTTTTTGGAATATGGCAATACAATTTAATATGTGGCTAACACAAGTTTATGATACTTAGATAGATAAATAGATAGATATATACTTTATTCATCCAAAGTTGGTATATTGCTTTGTCACAGCAGCTTTTTGACAGTCAATCTACAAAAATGTCCAAATAAAAATACATATCAAAATAAAAATATACATATTCTCAGTAAAAAAGGCATATATTCAGAAGAGTATTACACATTATAAAATATACAAAATAAATTAAAATACTCTCTAATATACCAATCTACTAAACATATACAAATATTGTACTATATACATTAAATAATTGTGCACAGCTTTGAATTGAAAGTGAAATATATCCTGTGAAGTAGTGAAAGTGGCTACATTATGTAAGTGCAAATTGTTCATGATAATAGAAAGGGAGAACCTGAACAAACTATGGAGCAGTGAGTTCTCTGCTGTCAGAGGTCAGGTGTTGTGTTATTGTCTGAGGCAAGAATGACTTCCTGTGTCTGTCCTTGTGACAACAGAGCTGGAGCAGACTGTTCACATGTCTTGTTCAGCAGGATAATCTCCACATATTAACACCACACTATGCAATCAGCAGAAGTAAAAAGCTAACAGTAGGCATTAAGACGGTCTTCAAGTCCCCATCACTAAGCTAGAGGTGGCTAATGTTGTTGATGACTTATACTAGTCTCATTTAGTCCCTTCTGTTCTAACAAAAAACACGTTCAAAAAAACAGGAAGTACTAAAATGCTAACTAATTTCCAAGTTTAGGACTCATTCCTGCACCTGTATAAACCCCTCCTCTCTTGTGTCTGTTGCAGTGTGATAGATGGGATCGCTGTTTCCTCCGGCTCTAAGCGAGACAACTTTAAAAAGGTGGCAGACAAAGTGTTTGAGCATGGGATCACCTGGGAGAGGATCGCTGTGCTCTTCTACGTCGCCGGCAAGCTGGCTGTGAAGGTGGGTTAGCCTGCCGCACATCAGAGTGTTGATAAATGGTCTTTAGAGCACATATGTATGCACCACATATAGAGTGGCGAAGTCACGCCCATCTACTTCCGCCCCATGGGACCTTATTTTGGAAAAATAATGTATTGAAGTCAATGGAGAGAGAAAACTTATCTTACATATGATGTTTGTCAATCTTAAAAAATAATTTCCATGTCAAAAAAGTCACAGTTTGTCGTAAAACTGTTGAAATATAAGACTATGAAAAATACGTAACAAGAAAGACTACAAATCCCAGAGTCGCGTAAGTGATGTCACAATTGTTTTCCTCCACTAAGAGATAGCTAAGATCAGCGCCATATAGATATAATCTATCTATATGGCGCTGGCTAAGATAAGATAACTTTAACAAGATGCCTGTGTGCTTAGTACCAGGTTGTTATCATACCAGCAATGGGTCTTGCTCGTTCTTTCGCTTCCCGTCTGATGAAAGGACCAGAAGTACTCTGGATCAAGCTAGCTAGTAGCTAGCACGTTAGTTAGCATTACAGCCTTGTCATTTTTATTAGCCTTAACATGAAGTAACATTAAGTAACCCAAAATGTTAAACAGTAAGAGTAGTAGTCATATTTCGTGAACCCTTTGAAGAGTACTGTCACCGGTGTGATCATTCTATAATACACAATTTAAGCCCGGGGGAGAAATGCTAACGCTAACGCTAGCGATCTTCTCTACTTCATGCTATCTGCACAAATGGTTGACATTAAACATTAAAACGACCAGGCAGTTCAGAGAGAATCAAAGGAAGGCAGGCAGGCAGCTTTGCATGACATTCTTCAGGACGTGTTTCATTGTGGTGATAGTGAGGGTAGCCAATCGGTTTGTTGACAAGACAGTAGTGACGGCCATCTTGGTGACGTGTTTTGTTGACCAGAGATGTAGTTCATTGAGCGTTTCACACAAACAAATGTGTTACTTCACAGTTTTACGACACATTTTATTTTTTTTGACTTGCAAAATTATATTTTAAATTGACAAACATCATATGTGTAATTCGTGGCACAATTCAAACGGGATCGAAAGATAATCTTTCTCTCTCCATTGACTTCAATACATAATTTTTCCGAAATAAGGTCCCATGGAGGTCCACCGGAAGGGGAGGGACTTCGCCACTCTATACCAAAGCAAATTCCTCGTATGTGTTCCTCGTATGTGTAAACCTAATTGGTAATGAAACCGATTCTGATCACCTCTTGAGTGATTTGTTATCAGAGGAGGCTTTCAGTACCAAAGCTTACTACCAGAGTATTTTAGGTTGTTGGAACGCATCACTTTCTATGCACTAAAGGATTTTTCTACTTGACACCCTGTGTTTAGAGGGAACAGGTATAGCTTGAAGTGACTATCCACCAAAAAGCTAGCTCTGCTGTACTATTTAGCCTTTTAACTACCTTTCTCTAAAATAAGTGAAATTGTGTTGACTCTGTACTTTTTAAAATATATTATTTACATTTTTATATATGTTTAATAGGATGAGGATAGTTATTCTTGATCAATAGAGTTCTGTAGGGCAGTGGTTCTCAACTGGTCAGGCTTCGGGACCCTGCACTTTTTCCTTTGTCAATAGATCGCGACCCGAAATTTTGAACCGCTCAAATCTATTCAACAAAAGATTGTGCTGTAATATATACGCTTTGCAGCATACAATATTAATTAAAGTGAAGTACAGTGCTTATATCCCTTCACAGAACTAAAGTATGGTTTTAAAAAAGGTTTGATGAGATGATGGAATCAAAGCTGAACTGTATAACATAAAAAGGCACACATGCTGAAAACCCAACCCCAGAAGGGGGGTCTGGGGGGATTCTCCCCCAGGAGATTTTTAGAAATACTAACATATAAACTACGCATTCTGGTACACTCTGAGAAGAAAATAAATAAATCTATTACTACCCGACATATTAATAATATTTTCTGCCATTGTTTGTTTTTCACTTTGTTCTGAAGCTGAACTTGCTGCTCCTCACTGAGAGAAGAGCAAAGAGGAGATAGTCTGTGAGAATTACTTTAAATTGTGGGTAAGGGTAGATAGCCCCCATTGTTCTGTGACCTGTCAATCATCAAACCGGGGGTCATATTTCATTATGTGTTCATTTTTATCTGAAGTTGTACCCATGGATGTATAAAGAAGAGTTCTACCGCAAAGTAATTCTCCGTGGGGACTTACGGCAACAATCTTGATTCTGATTGGCCAGAAGACTCGAAAAAACATCAGCAAAGATGTTTTATTGAGAAGATGATCACTACGTGATAGAAGTTTTCAAAACCGTTTATGGTCTCCGGTACTTCCAGTCCAACGCCTACTGCATGCACAGCTTTAGAAAATCGGGCCTTCAAAATAAAAGTTTGACTTTTTTCAAAAAAAAGAAATATATATATTTTTTAAAAGGTTTTTCTTCACTCTCACATCTGCGACCCACTCGAAACGGGTCGCGACCCACCAGTTGAGAACCACTGCTGTAGGGATCACATAGTTTTATTAGAAGGTTCTCTGGTTCCCTCTGCAAAATAAATTGAGGTAAACAAGCATTTATGATATTTACAATTCTTTTTCAGCAAAAGTATGTTCAAAAATAAAAACAAATGTTGTGAATGTTGCGTAAATGTAATCTCTAGCAATAAAAAGCTTATGCTAGACTATTAACAAACTACATCACACTCCCATGACTTGACATCAACATCACTAAGCTAAAGGTGGCTAATGTTAGGTTTGATGATGATAAAAACATCACACATTATTTTGTTCAGCAGTCTCAATTAGCTACTTGTTAACCACCATTCTTTAGAGACATAAAAGCTTCTAAATGTATGAGTGGGACACATTTACGTCGTAGAACAACAAATTTGACTTGCGATAACCACAGACCCCTAACCGAAAACCCATCGGCTTCCACACGAGGGAACTGGAAGTGCAAACATCTAGAATTATTTCAAGGTTTCACTTAGAGACTTTGCAAGTTTGTTTGTGATGGTAGCATTAGGTTTAGATTAGCATGATATTAGCTAGCATGCTAAGCTAACCATTGATGGTTATCAATGATCCAGCAATGTAATTGAAATAAACCACAGTTTGGCAGCCGCTTCACCTTGTGTATGGACTTTATCTGTGTGTGTGCATCAGATGGTGGAGGCTCATCTCCCCGAGTCAGTGAATAAGATCCTGAGATGGACTGTGGATTTCTTCAAAAACAATCTACTAGCCTGGATTCGGGATCAAGGAGGATGGGTATGTCGGAACTTCATTTCTTCCATATTTCTTTTAACTTTTTGAGGGTTTTCCCTTTCCTGTAGTGTGTTATAGGTTTCTGTGCATGGAAATGGTCTGCAAAGACGAAAATCCCTGTGTTCCCTCCAGAGGGAGTTTCTCTCCCACACACTCCCCCCCTGCCTGAAACGCCTCCATTGGACTCCCTTGTTTACTTACATCACTATGTAACACTCGCATTTCTATTGGCTATTGCTCCAACACATTATACGTGATAGGCTAAGGGGCGGGACATCACTAAGCGGTTGACCAATCACATCAGAGCTGGCCAGCTAACCAATCAGAGCAGACTGGGCTCTGGTTTCAGACAGAGGGTGAAAAGAGGTGCTGCAGCACAGGCAGTATGAGAAAAATAAAGAGCTTTTTGAACATTAAAGCATGGAGACACGTCCCAGTAGAGACACTACATACTGATATGAAGCTGAAAATGAGCAGAATAGGAACACTTTAATAATAAAAAAAATACAACTTGTTCACTTGTATAATGTAAGTATATTTGACCAATGTTTATATAGTTTGTTTTAATAATAAGTTGGTCTATAACAGTGTATAACTTATTCTGTATATTTCATATTATGTTATCTAAAATAGTCTCTTGATATATAAAAAAAATGTTTAACCCTGTTTATGTATATAATTATTTTTATAAACCAATTTTCCAATTTGGAATCAGATTTTGAAAGTCAGTTAGTTGATACATTTTCCGAATCTGATCTTTTCTAAATATGTTCTCCCGAGTCATTACGATGGACCACAGTATTGAACCTGTCTCTCACAGATCTACAGCTTCCCTGAGCTGGCCCAGTCGTCCATGCAGAGCGTGTCCACGATGAGCGCTCACAGCTACGGCCTCGTCCTCATCTTCGTCGCCGGCCTGGCTGTAGGAAGCATCATCACCTGGAGACTAAGCAGAAACTGAGGCACACACACACACACACACACACACACACACACACACACACACACACACACACACACACACACACACACACACACACACACACACACACACACACACACACACACACACACACACACACACACACACATACACACACACACATCACTTTGCGACATCTTCACTGCAAGACCGTTTGAGTGTGTGTGGCAAGAGGTAGGTCACAATAGCGTGATGCAGTGATAAGTCCTAAACCCACAAATCCAATTTTAGCACTTTCGGGTTCCCTCGTCTGTTAGTCAACATCTTTTTAATTCATGTTTGGTTAGATGCATTAAATGGGGCGAAGCCTGCGAGCTAGTTCAGGCAGTCAACTCGAGCACTAATGCTGCATTCATACATAACGCCCCTTGCCACTTTACAACCAACCAAACAGAGTGTCCTTAATCTGCCGCTCTATTTAACCTGCCAGATCTCTCTCTATGCATTGCTTGCTGCTGCTATTGCTGCAGCTACTTCCACGTCGCTGCTGCTTGCCTGCCCCACCACCACCCCAGCTTCCATCCCAGCTTCCACCTGTAGGCTCGGGGGTTAGTTATTTAATCATCACTCATCGAGCTATGTATATCTGTGGAGTGATGAGGCCCGAGCCTAGACGCCAAACTCAACTATATGCTGCTTCTAATAAACATGTTAAAGAAACACGTGAGTTGTCTGACTGAAATAAGATCTGTGATTAACACAAGCTGAAGAGATTTTTTGTTCTACGACCTAAAATACACAAGTAACTATGTATGGTGAATGTCTGAAGCTGTTACATTTCTTGAAAATGGTAGTTGCTATCGAGTGGCTAAATGAGGCTCCTAAAAGCAGAATATTAGCCGCCTTTCGCTTAGCGTTGGTGACGTGAAGTCCTGCGACAGTGTAGTTCTTTTATAGCATTACATTAGCTTTTTTAATTCTGTCGATTGCGTTTACGCTTCAAGAATCATAAAATGGTTTTAATATGTGGACATTATCCAGCTGATTAAAACAAAATGTTGTGTTTTCCAGTGTTCGTATTTTTTGCAATATTCCAAAATTGAGCCATTACGATGCTTACTTCAAGGTCGGCCTGCAAAGATACGTCATCACTGCACCACTCAATATTGACACGAAAGTAATTCTGTGCTTTTGCCAAATAGATCAGAGCGGTTGTCATATCATGTCCTGATCGCATGTTGCCATGAGATGCCATCCACACAGGCTACCTTCTCTAATGTTCATCTATGCAAACTTGAAATAATCAGAATGTCAACACCACCCTGAAGCTTTATGCCAGACCAAATAACACATCCTACTCAGGTATCTCATGTTTAGATGTTTCTTTTTTTTCTAATATACAGAAGGCTTCCATCTTCTTGTAGATATGTGGATCTTTAGTTTGGCTGAGTGACAGCAGTTTATTCAGTAATAAACATTGAATTATCTTAAGGGAGCATTTCCATTCAGTCACGTATAAAACACTGTGCCTCAGGTAGAAACTGTATTCAATGTTAATGATAACCTGGATTATTAAATAATATAATAATAATTCACAAATAAAATATCAGTTAAAGATGCAAATAATTACTCTGTTCGCTAGAGACAGCAGTAAAGTCTATTTTTGACATATTAATTTAATGTTTAACGCCAATAATCTTAGTCCTTGAAAAATGGTGCCCTTCAATAAGCAAACCATGATGTAACAAAAAAATCCTATTTATACCTTCTGTATTCCACTGGTTTACTGTTATGGTGATTTTACAGTTTATTTGCACAATAAAAAACCTCAAGTGAAATGACTTTAACACGGGCAGATACAGGTTCCTTCTGTCATTGGAGAATCTTAAGAAAAATTGTGTGCATGTGAACTTTTACATTTAACGAGTGTGAATTGCACTTGTTGCCTTTGTATGGGAGCTGTGGTGTAAAGTAACTAAGTACTGTAATGTTGTATTGCATAACGTGTACGTTTGATTCTTATACTTTTGTACTTTTACTTGATTCCAAGACTTTGACTTGTAACAGAGTAGTCCTACTTTTACTGACGTACAAGATCACAGTACTTCTCCCACCTCTGTATTGGAGATTAAAAATAAAATCATGGACTTCAAAGATTCTAAATTCTTTGTGTAGCACACTTATTTGTATTGGTTCTGGTTTTATTTAATGCAATTATTATTATTATAATCAGGTGCAGGGTTTCCATCTCATGTTTGTCCACCAGAGAGCGCTGCCATGTTAACTTTACTGTAAGATGTCCTGTCACAGTCATAGACTTTAAATATACTGTAAAGGTCACAATCCATAAAAAAAAAAACTAAAAGGTGTCTTTTTTGTTCAATATTTGGTTTTTGATATTATTTGTTAACAACCCATTTTTAACCCTAACTCTTTAGGGACTCACTGACAAGGAACAACTGTAAAAATAGAAATATAAAGACAAAAAAAAAATAAAAGTAATAAAGGAATTGAAGGCAAATTAAATACATAAAAACAAATATGTAGCAAATGTATTTATGTAGTTATTTTAAGCTAGGTCATTAAGGGCTATTCACATAGCAACCTCTAACCCTTAAAGAGGACCTATCATGCAAAATGCACTTTTTGATGTCTTTCATACATAAATATGTGTCCCCGGTGTGTCGGGGAACTCACGCAGCGTCAGAAAATAAAACCCTCTCTCTTTTCCTCCGTACCAAAATCTCTAAACGGGGCTACAACGGAGCTGATCTGCGTCCGATATGACGTAATATCGGAAATGTAGGCTGGCTTTACACCCACTGCCCTATCAGAAACGTTGCTATCAGAAACAATGCCCGACTGTTTTGGACGTAATATGGTCGGTGCATGTTTACATTAGTCCAGTGGTTCTCAACCGGGGGGTCGCGATCCACCCGTTTCGAGTGGGTCGCGGATGTGTGAGTGAAGAAAAAAAAATAGAATTTTATTTTTTATTTTTTTTTTTTTTTGGGAAAAAATCTAACTTTTATTTTGAAGGCCCGATTTTCTAACGCTGTGCATGCAGTAGGCGTTGGACTGGAAGTACCGGAGACCATAAACGTTTTTGAAAACTTCTGTCATCTTTGCTGATGTCTACCCTTACCCACAATTTATAGTAATTCTCACAGACTATCTCCTCTTTACTATTCTCTCTGTGAGGAGCAGCAGGTTCAGCTGTCAGAACAAAGTGAAAAACAAACAATGGCATAAAATATTATTAATATGTCGGGTAGTAATAGATTTATTTATTTTCTTCTCAGAGTGTACCAGAATATGTATAAACATATGTAGTTTATATGTAACTATTTCCAAAAAATCTCCTGGGGGAGAATCCCCCCAGACCCCCTTTTGGGGTTGGGTTTTTTTTTTTTATGTTATACAGTTCAGCTTTGATTCCATCATCTCATTAAAACTTTTTTTAAAGCATACTTTAGTTCTTTGAAGGGATTTATGCACTGTACTTCACTTTAATTAATATTGTATGCTGAAAAACGTATATATATTACAGCACGATCTTTTGTTGAATAGATTTGAGTGGTTCAAAATGTTGGGTCGCGATCTATTGACAAAGTAAAAAGTGGGTCCCGAGGCCTGACCAGTTGAGAACCACTGCGATTAGTCCATATGAATTGTTTTGGTCCGATCGGGAGGTGAACCGGCAACCCTTCGGTTCCAAGACCAAGTCCCTACAGACTGAGCCACTGCCGCCTCTAAAAGACTTGTATATAGAAGGAAAACTTATGTCCTTTGATCAGTTGTTTCATAGATATGCCATCCCTAGAAGCCACTTCTTTCAATTCCTGCAGGTAAGGAGCTTCATATCAGCACAGACTAAATGCTTAGATGAGCCACCCTTGTCAGTTGTAGAGAGGGCCACTCTAAATTATATGGATATTCGAGGCCACCTATCAGTCATTTATGTTCTGCTGCGGTCCAAATCGAAGGACAATTCACACTCAAGACTCAATGCTTGGAGAGATGATTTAAAAGTAGACATTACAGAGACTGACTGGGGAAATGCCTGTTTAAAGGCACAAACCCAGACTATAAACACTGCACTGAAACTGATACAATATAAATGGCTGTTCAGAACCTATGTGACACCTGTTAAACTTAATCTGTATAATCCTAACATTCCTGATAACTGTTCCAAATGTGACGATAATGTTGGTACTCTGCTGCACTGTATGTGGGAATGCCAAAAAATCCAATCATTATGGAAAGACATAGTTAACCTGATAGCACGTGTAACTGCTATACAGATGGGGCATCTTATTTCGGACGCCAGCATACAGCTTCCTGCCTACTACCAGCCAGTTACCTGCCTAAGACCTGCCAAAGACCAGTATCTGGGAATGTTAAGCCCTCCCACTATTTTCCAATTTCAGGGTTTAACCAGGAGATGGCGCTATATATTAAATAACTATGGCCAAACTAAGACTTAGTTTTTCACAAGAGAAAATGCAGATATTATATAAAAAACTAAAGTTAAAATCTTGTTTTTAATGCCCCAAGAGCAATAAATCACCGACCCCCCTCTGAGTGAATACCTGTTAACTTAACATCTTGTCACAAGCTTTTTGGAAGAAAAGACTGACCCAAGAGACCTGTAGTTGACTAATTACAGGCCTCAATAAAGTTCTGCCATTGGTTGTGAAAAACAACGGTGGACATAGTGGAAAGTGAAATTGACATTGTCGAATTTAATAAAAATACAAAATAATGTATCTGTGTACGTGTTTTACTATGTGATCTGCATGCACTTATCAAACATCTAATTAAAGAATGGTAGCTGTGATGCAGCGGGAGAAGCAAAAAACACACACTTCAAGTCAGATCATCACCCTTAGCTATTTCAATTACCTCTCAAACAACCTAAACTAGTTATACATTTTTATTTTATTTTAAATAAAGTCTTTATGACTCAGAATATGAATAATATGGGTCCGTTACAGTTTGTTTTCATCTGATTTCAAATAAACAAAGTCTTGGCTTTCAGAATATTAAACTTGTTTCGGCAAATTTAGATGATAAATACAACTATGAAGCTTGTAACGGCATAATTACTTAA